CAGTATCCATTTGTGGTTGCAGGTGGTACATGAAGAGGAATGATTACAGTAATTAGCCCAGCTGGAATTTGCCCACAGCTCTGTGGGTACCTTGTAAACACTGCAAAAATGCCAGGCAATCTTAATAGCCCTTTTGTCTTGTCTCCTTTATGTAGGTAGCCATTTGCACAAAACACTTTGCACCAGTACTTTGGTGTGATTGCACCTGTGACAGTAAAAGCCTCCTCCTGGTATCTTGCCGGTCGAGCCCAGTGCAGCATCTTGGGCTTTTCAGGAAGCTCTATATCAGTGCTCGGCGTTATTTCAGCGAGATACTGCCATGGAAAACACCAGCCAGATCTGTGCCTTGCAAGTTTGGGATGACGTGGGATAAAGACTCAGGCTCATATTTGTAAGGCCGTCTCCAGGGGAGATAGTGGGCTCACTGCTGCTGTTGGACTGGGTGGTTTAAAGCTCTGAAGGAGCTGCCTGTGGAAGAGAGGAATAATCTTAATAGTTAACATGGTATATCTAGCCCTTGAGCTGGGAGTGGCAATATGGCAATGGTTTGGGCGCCTGGATGTTATTTCACACAGTTCTCAGCAAGGAAGCTGTGCCTGGAAAAGCCTGGCTGCCCAAGAAACCCTGAAAATATTTGGAATGAGTGTGGTACGTGTTTTGGAGCAGAGCTGTGTGGCTCTGTGGTCTGTATCCCAACCCCTTGTCACTGAGGAGACCCCTAGACTCAGAAGAACATTCCACTGTGCTCCAGTCCCTTCCACTCTGGTGGAGACAGCGCATTTGTTACAGGCAGTTTTGCATCTGGTCTCTTGATTAATGGACTTGTCTTTTGCAGCCTATTTTGACTCTGACACCGCTTTCTGCTCCACAGATGCTTTGCTGATGTTGAAGAAAGTTTGCCTCGCTTGATAAAGACCAGATCCTGAAATTTACTTCCAAACCTGAAGTAACAATTTTTAACTTGAAATGCTTTTTCCCCAGGAGTCGCTGCTCCAGAATCCTTCCCTTATTTGGTGCCTCCTTCACAGCTGGGACCGATGCTCAGGTGCCAAAGCTCTGTGCACTCCTCGCAGTGAGCCAAATGGGTCCGCACTGGGTTCAAGCGTGGCGGCTCTGCTTCCCAGTCTGGTTTGTGGCACTCCTTTTCCTCAGCACTCTGGTGGCGTTTCCAGTGATTCTGTGCTGGGGTGGGAGACACCGTTTCCAGTGACCGTTGATAGGTGCACGGTCTCTTGAGGTTGGGTCTTGCTTTCTTCTTTTCTGGCTCAAGACATGACAAACCTTTCCTGAAGCTGTCTGACTGCCTCTGTTCTGTGTGTTGTCAGGTTGTACTCCTTGTGGCCTCTCAGTGATTTGAGCTGGCTGTTCCAGGACCGTTGCTATCTCTGCACTTAGCTGCTCAGCGAGAAGTTGTTAGTCACTGTTGATTTCTTCCATGGTAACAAATCCAGTTTGGTTGGCAGCGCGGTGTGTGAATGCTCCCCAAGCAGCAGTGGGCTGCTTCCTCTGGTGAGGTTGCCTCTTCCCAGGTGGATTTAGTCTGTCTGCACATGCTGACTCATGACAGCCGAAACAGCTGTTTTCAGCTTCAGGCACTACTGTGTGCAGGGACCCCTTCTTCTTCTTGACAGCTGGTTTGTTTTTATAACTAATGCCTTCACTATATGCTCATAACTTCCATATCTGTGATGCCTGCTTTTCAACTGGAAGGGCCAAAATCCATTTTTTGACATAGTTTCGTTGTTGTATAAGCCCTACTTGGTGGGCTCTTCCCAAGCAACCAACTGGGACCAGCCAGATTTGGTTCCCAGTTCCAAGGAGCAAAGCTACCCGCAAAGGGCAGCAATGTAAGTGTGCAGGGAGCCCCGTCTTCCCCTGGCATCCTGACATCGGCACAAGGACCATTTTCAGGAAACCTTTGGAGGGGACTACCTTTGGAAGGCACAGCGAGTGAGGTGAAGGCAAGAAGTTGTTGCAGGTCTCATGCTAGCACTGTCAGGGTAGCGAGCATGCTTAGCAGGGCTTTGGGGAAGTGTTCCTCTCTGCCGTGTGAATGCAGAACAGCAGGTGACAGGACTTCCTCCTCCCTGCCCTGAAGCCAGGCCGCTCAGTGGAAGTCACTGTTTCCCTCGCGCCGTTAGAAGCAGCGTTTGATGGGAGGAGCAGGCAGGGCTCCCGGAGGCTGAGGGACAGGTGAGTCACTAGAGAGAGAGTCATTCAGAGAAAAGCCCAGTCAAAGCAGCCGGTGGCCTTAGCGTGAACTCGGAGATGAAAGGTCCAAAGTTAAGTGATGAGCTCATCAAAACCTTGAGGCTGTGAGAGAAAAAGTGATGAAAGAAGTGTGAGAGGTGCCTGCTTGAGATGCCACAGTGCTGGGGCACACAGGTCTCTGCCTGGGCTTGCTGGGTTCGTGCTTAAGTTGGCAAGAAGTATGAAATGTGCTTCTTCCCTAGAGGCAGGTATCCTGCTTCCTTTAAAAAAAAAAAAATTATAACTATATATATATGCACATATCTATGTCCCAGTTCAGCACTGGTTCCTGTGGAGTGTGACTGGTTAATCTTGGGATTGTGAGTGAAAAGGCTGAGCGTGAAACTTGCTCTGAGAAGATGGGGGCGAAGCCGATGTCCGGACGAGCCCTCCCAGAGCCGGGCGTCTCTGTGGGAACGCTCTGGGCATGTCCCCGCCGGGTGGTGCGGGCGTCGCTTTCCATTCAAGGTGGGGAGTTTTGGTACTCCCCCACTGCCAGTAAAGTGCTGCGGGGATTGCAGGGTGAGCGCTCCCGGGGCTGTGGGTGAATGTGGGCATTGGAGAAAAACTTCTGCCCCAATTTCATCTTTCCCCCCACGTGCATCCCGCTGATCAGCGTTGCGACAGGCTTTCCAGTAGAGATGGGTCAGGTCAGGAGCTCCTGCTCTTTTCCATATCCCCCAGCAGAGAGCACAGAGCATGGACCCCTTCCTCCAGCTCCTGCAGGCAGCAGCAGCACGTGGGCTCGCTCTGGGGCTGAGCACTGCCCACCGCCCCACCAAGCCTTTTGCACCTGAGCTAGGGGCTCGGACTTGTTAGGCTGTGTCTCTGTCGGGGTGTGTGATAGCAGCTGGAGCCACGGAGCTGGTCACAAACCAGCTTTCTACCTCCGCGCGCTGTTGCCTGGAAAAAAAAAAGTATGTGCTAACAGTTTCAAGCTCTGAGCTGCTTTGGTGTCCTAAGGAGGATGGTGAAGAAGTAGCTATATCCAAACTTCACTGGCAGAGTAAGGGCTTTGCTGTGCTGTCCCAGTATTCCCCAGTCTCTTCTGGGTTTCATCTGCAGAGTTAATAAAATGGTGGCAAATAAAGTCGAGTTCCAGTGGAAAGGACTCTTTAGGGCAGCAGTAAAATAGTGAGTAAGCAAGAACCCCTTGCTGCGGGGGCCAGTTTAATTGGTCTGGCTTGTTTTATGAGACAGGTTTTATGTTCAAACTCGCACATGGCCCAGGAGCGACTCTGCAGCAGGGCATCATTCTCCTGCATGGGTCCTCCGGGAATGCAGCCCGGGTTAATTACACCTAACCGAGCAATCGCAACTTGCGGAGCAGCTGGCATAAGTCGTGGCGTGAGCCGAGGGGTTCAGCAAATGAGGGTGAGAGGTAGTGCCAGAGCTAGGACTGCCCATGATAATCCTCCCCTGCAGCCAGGCCTGGCGGGGAGCTTGGTGCTGCCTGGAGGCATCGGCCGGTGACCGTCTTGCACCCTCTCACGTGCGCCTGGCCAGGCATTGCCACAGCCCTGCCTGGTAACCTCGTCCTCTGTGCGTCTGATCCCCCGTAAAATGGAAGTGGCATCGCTGACCTTTATAGAGGGGTTCAAGATATAAAAATCCTGTGTGAATGGGAACAGAGCGGTGGTGCTCAGACTGGGTCGCTCCTGGTCAGCATCTCCCCGCGCGGTGCTCGGAGCCTGGCTTTTCTCACTGTGCTGAGGCTGTGCAGGCGCGCGGGTGCGAGAAAAAAGCCTCTTGCTGTGGAGAAGGTAAGAGCGAGGCCAGTCCACTCCTAGCGTGACACAGCCACCTCCAGGGCCAGGCAGAGTGACTACTTACCCACCCACGGCCTTCTTCAAAGCTGTTTAGATAAGGACTGGGAAAGCCCAGAGCTCTGCTGGCTAGCAGAGGTGGCTTAGAGCAGTAGTAAGTAATTATTCCGGTCACGTTTTGGTGTTGCTGGACCTAAGCAGGGCAGGAAGCTGCCTTCATGCCATGTGCTACAACCAGCTCCCCCTCTATCCCTTTAAAAGCTGCCGCAGGCTTTCAGGGGCTTTTCTGATACGTGTGAACACCAGCTCCTTCTCTGTAATTGCTTAAGGCTGGAGTTAAATGAAGGGGTGCAGCATCACCCCAATGCCCCCTTGCTTCTGAAAGCTGCTCCTGGCAGGGCACAAACAAGTGCTCCTAGCTTTGCTGCTGAGCTTGCCGTGTTGGCTCCTCTGCAGAGGAGCATTGGTGAGGACGTCCTGCTCCCTCTCTGCGTTGACCAGACGCTGCTCAGCCTCCGCCGCAATCGCCGAGCACCGAACAAGTTGCTTCTGTTCCTTGTTTGTTGGTTTTTTTTTTTTTCCCCCATTGGTGGGAAACACTAGCGGGAGAGGCTGCCTTTGGGGACTCCTTTCGCATGAGCCCCTAGGCTGTGCTGTGCTTCGAGCTCCCCGCTGGCAGCCGGAGCTGCCCGGGGCCGGTGCCCGGCGGCCCTGCGAGGGAGCGCAGGACCCGGCAGAGGGTGCTGTGTCTCCACCGCCTCTCCCGGCTCCAGCTCCAGCTGTTTGGCACTTGCCCGTGCCTGTGTGCATGATGTTTGTAAGAGTTTGGGCATGTCCATTTGGTTCCCATCTCCAGTGCCACCCCCAGCATCCAGGCCAGGTTCTTCTGTCACTGGGGACATTCTTAATTCACAGGAAATCGGAGAGAGTTTAATTGTTTTCTCCTCTCTCTTTTTTTTTTTTTTTTTTTTTCCCCCCATGCAGCTGAACAAAAGGTTCATCCTCAGTTTTCTCCATGCCCATGGGAAGCTGTTTACCAGGATTGGGTAAGTGTGCAGGATGTTTATTTTATTTTCCTACATTACAAGTCTTTTTGGAATTTAATATTGTTAGCAACTAAGCTGTGTTTGGAGCTGAGGGCACAGGGTGTGAATTCTTGCAGGCCTAGCCTCCTGGTTCTTATTCTCCTTATCCGCCCTCCGATCCACACTGGTTATTGTTCGGGCTTTTTCTTCCCCCACCTCAAGGCCTGGTCCTGCCTGTGCACCGGGACCCTCTGGCAGAGGTTGAGCTCAACCGGCTGATACACGGGAGGGACTGGAGGCTGTATTCTCTCTCTCCCATCACCTAACCATGCTCCGTCCCCCTTAATTTCTGATTTTGCCCCCCCCATTCCCCCCACTCTTAGCCATCAGAGAGGTAGCTCTGGGGGGTCTCGGTGGCTGCTGCCTGCGAGGAGCACAAAGCCATCAAGGCAGAACCATGCAGTGGCTGAAAGCTGCCGTCCAGAGCGTGTCAAGACAAGCCTTGCCCTTCATCACCTCGCTGCCATTTCAGTGAAAGCCTCGTAGCTGAGAGCTGCCCTGGCTGTGGGAACGGGTTTATGCAAAATGCCCTTGGCAACGTCTGTCAAAAACTGGTTTCAAGTAATTGAACAGCTACCCTTGAAGCAAAGCAAGCCTGATTCAGGCCTGGGCTGAGATCCCAGCCTGGGGGACATCCTTATGACCCAGAGAGCAAAGCTCAGCCTCGCAGCTGATGGGCTTCCCATGGAGCTGTCCCTGCTCCGGGTCTGGACTGACCCTTGCTGTCAGGTGATGGGGCGGCTGTATGGGGGCGGCTGTTGTAGTGAGACCTCGCGTGGGTTCAGATGGTCTCTGGCAACGGCGATCTCTGCTTGAGCCTGCCAGTGCCTCGTAAGCAAATGTAGTCTCATGAGCTCTGTTGGCTCCTTCAGTCTCTTGTGGAACTAATGGCTACAAGTTACAGGGTTGAGAGACCTTTTCCAGACGACTTAGGTAAAGGTAGTGTGAATGCAAAGTGGCATCTTGTCCCTACTGTTGGTTTTTTTGACTCAGATGTACAGTTCCCTGCCTCTGTCTGGGCCTGTCCCCTTTCACTCCTGGAGCGGGGAAGCACAGCAGTGCAGGACACAGCACCGACCCTGCCGTGCAGCCTGAAGCCTCAGCCCTTGCTCCATCCAATGCGCTCTCTGGGGTGGCTAGTCAGGAGTGGCACGTGCTTGACTTTGGACCCTTCATAAACCAATGGGAAGTAGGAGCCGTGCTGGCCAATTTGTTGGAGATCCGATTGTCTGAGGGTGAGAGCAATCCGCTCGCTGCCGGTGCTGTTGATCTCTCCCCGAGTCACAAGGCACTGATTATATGCTTGCGGGCAGCAGGCTGGCCTGCAGCGAGGAGGCAGAACTGGATGTCCTTCTGCCCACAGGAAAAGATGAGAAAAGCTGCAAGAGCCCATGAAAGGTTTGGTAACTGCAGCGTGTCTGTGCTGGAGGGCAGAGCATCCGGGGAGCTGCTGGTCCTCAGCGCTGTGGGGCCATGCTCGCGGCCGAGCTCTGGTTGAGCGCATGCCAGCAGGGGGATTAATGGGGATGTTGCAGAGATTGCTTGCACATTTGGCTCCTGAGACTTTTGTGAAATTAAGATGCAGCGTTTGAGGCCGTTGCTTCCCAGGACAGTCATTTAGAAAACCCAAGTATGTTTAGTGGTAGAATATCCCCTGAAGTACTTAGAAGGGAACTAGAAAGTAATACCATGATACAGGAAGAGAAAATTGTCCAGCCCTGCTAAACAGCTTCCGCGCTTAAAATAGGTAAAAGGTGAGCAATAGTTGAGTCCTCTTTGGGCAGGATCTTCAGTGATTTATCTGTAAAAAGTACGGAAAAGATGATGTTGCCCTAATTGGACTCTTTTGCTCCTAAAACCACAGGTAAGCAATTTATTAAAAGCTTCCGCTCTGCTCCTGACCTGCTGGTTCTGAGCTCAGTGGGGTTGCTGCATGCCGTTCCAGATGTGCTGTGGTATCAAAGCACAGCTGGCGGGGCTGAGGAAGCCCTCGCTCCTTCTTATTGTTACTCCACGGCAATAATCTTCATCTCCTCACTAACAACCCATCCTGCAAAGGGTTCCTCCATCCCCAGTATCCTGTCTGCCCTAGGAGGATGTTGCTGGATACACTGGATGTGGTCTGAGATTTCTCAAAATTAGGAAGTCTTTAGAAGCAATCAGTTCACTCTAATTCCCTGGCTGTGCCCCAAATCCAGGGAAGTTGCCTCTTCCAGGGGGAGTAGTGCTTTTGTACCGGTGGAACTGCTCCGTTCTGCACAGCTACAAAGTACAAGGGGCCTGTTTGTTTCAGCCCATGTTTGTGGGAAGGTAACAGAGACTTTGAACTGCTCCGGCAAACAGTGCCCGGGGAGAGGGTACCCCTGCTGCTAGGCAGAACCGGTTGTTGAAAGGCATCCATGAAATATGGTTAAGAAGAAAGCCATTTCTGTCTTTAAAAATAGAGCCTATTACTGTCCTGAAAGTCTGTTGGGGAAGCCCAGCAGAATTGCCCATGTGGGTTACCAGAAGTGGCTTGCTAATCCAGCCTGTAGCGTGCTGATATCACAAGATCTGAATCTCTCGGGGGAAGATAGAGGAAATTGCTATGGAGGCCCCTGAGGTTGCCTGCCCTGGCTCCAGATGCCTCACCCACTGCGGATTTTGGCGCTCTCGTATGGGCACACTAGTACAATGTCACTGATAACTGGAGCGGACACTTGCTGCGAGACAGATACTCACTCTTGCTGGGTCTAGCTGTGGCTTTTTCTAGTGTAGGAGCAAGAACTAACACAGCAAGCTCAGCAGAAGGGGCAATGGGACAGGAGGACCTTCCCCCCACCCCCAATAGTTTCCAAGGTTTTTGGCAGCTTCTTGGTTATAAAGTTGTCTTCGTGGGATGCCAGGTGAGGACTCTTTGGGAGGGCTGTTGTGGGCAACCATGTCTCAGTCATTTTTGTGAACTGACCGTGCTCTTCTTTGCAATCAGTTCAGTTTTTTTGACCCCACTTCAGTTGGGTGGTTGCTGAGGATCCAACAGCTCTGATAAGTAACCTCAGCTAATTCCCTTAGTGATGCCAGATGAAGAGTACGATAAATGTGTCAGATTTCCGTGGGCGCTTGTGAATGGTGTTGAAAGCGCACCCCATCCCCGGCCGTGGCACTGCAGCCGCTGGCTGCTGTGTCCTGATGAGCGACAGCAGCGCTGTGTGCTGCAGGGACCAGCTCCAGCTTTGACCAGCAGCTAGATGAGGCCAGTTGTTAGTCTGTGAGTCCCTGTCCTGTGGGGCTCTAAGTGTTGAAGTTTAGGGGCTCAGTCACAGTGCCGGAGAGTGTGTAGCCTGGGGGGACGGGGCTCAGTGCCATAGGATCTGATCCTGCGGTGCAGAGCCCAGGTACAGGCACCATTCTTCTGGAGGAAGCACGCTCTGGCTAACGTTCAATGCACTGGAATTGCCACATCCGCAATGTGGCACCAGTGTGTGCAGTTTGCTGCAGCCTGGGTTTCTTGGGAGTCCCATGGGCTGCTCCTGGTCCAAGTGAGCTGCTGGCCTCTTGGCACCCCTCCCAGATTGGTAGAAGTCAGTAGAAAAAAATGGTTGGTCAGAAATGACTCATAAAGGCCGTGTTTTCCTGCCAAAGGAATGCTGCCTGTCGGTCACAGAGCAATCCCTCGCTACCTTCTCTAAGGAAGGCTTCAGCTGCCTCCGTTGCAGCCTGCACCTTCATACCCCGTGGCTCCTGGATGGGAGACAGCACCCCAGGGGCTCCCCCTTCCCCAGGAGACGTGACACTGAGTAAGCTGTGCTGACTGACCGCCTTGCACCCCAGGGCATAGCCTGCGCTCTACAGACTCTCTCTCTGTCTGCAGGATGGAGACTTTCCCTGCGGTGGCCGAGGAGGTCCTGAGGGAGTTCCAGGTCCTGCTGCAGCACAGCCCCCCTCCCATCGGAAGTACCCGCATGCTCCAGCTTGTGGCAATCAACATGTTTGCAGTGTACAACTCCCAGCCCAAAGGTACCACGTGCTGCTTTAGGGGAACTGGGCTGGGGATTGGCGCTCTCTGTATTGGCCGAGTTGCTCATGGAGAAGGGTGGGGGGGACTCACCAGCTGAAGACGGATGGGGAAGTGGAGCAGTGGTTGGATGCCTGGGGGTGTCGGCGTGCATAGGGACAGCAAAGGGACCTTGGCTGGGCCTCGGTGGAGCTGTCTGGGGGATCCGAGGAGTGAGGTGCCATCGCATCTCCCTGGAGCCTGAGCCATCAAGCGCAGAAGGAGGGCACTGCTTTATGGCTCTGCCTTCCCAGCGTTTAGCTTGCGCTATGCTCAGTGCCCACACTGGCACCAGAAGGGCTGGGAGGATCTCAGAGGGCCTTGGCTGTTGGGAGAGTGGCATTGCCTGTGACCGCTTGTGTCCGTGCAGGCGGCTGGGGGATGTGATGGGAGATGCTGCTCTCTGAAGGGCCAGGCTGGAGGCTATTTCCCATATTAAGACACCTAGAGATCTAGTATTACTCATCCTCCTCCCCTCCTCCATCCACCCAGGAGGCTGTACATGGTCTCTGCCATTGTCGGGTTTAATGTGTTGGTCAGCAGAGATGCCACAAAACCAGAGTCACTTCCACTGAGTTTGAAATGGTGCTTCCAGGGGACGTGTTTTTCCCTGTGGCCCCCCGACATGCACAGCGGCAGGTGCCCAGGTCTGCCTGAGCCGTGTGTTTGGGAGCAGGGATGGGGCTGCGCTCCCTGGGTGGGAGGAAGCAGCGTTTCACAAGCCGATGGCTTGGGATTTAGATCCCAAAGATGGAGGCCTCCAGCTGATGGATTTCAGTCAAAGCCACCGTGTGGGCGATCAGGCTGAGCCCCAGGGAGCTGCTGCTGGAAGGTTTCTCCCTCGTGAGCCAGCTGGCCACTTGTCAGGCTGGTGGTTAGTGGCCGAAGTCAGCTGATGGAGCGAACTGGCGTCGGCCGGAGGGCTGGGAAGCAGCTCCCGTGCGCCGTGCCTGCTGCCCGGCCAGGCTCGCAGGCACCCTCCTCTCCTGGGGGAAGCCCTGGGGGAGCTGTCAGTCCTGCTGGTGAGGCAGCCTTGCCCTCCCGCCTGCTAGATGCCAACCAGCGACGGTGTGTTTATCTTTGAGCTGCAAAGTACTTTACGATTATGAGCAAATGCCTCTGTGCCGCCCCCCGGTATGTATATTAATAGCAGTGTCTGTGCCACAGGCGGGAGCTGGTGGTAAAGAGAGGAAGAGATTTGTCTGGGCTGTACGGCAAGCCCCTGTGGCAGAGCTGGAAGCAATCCCAGCTCTCAGACCACTGGACTCTGCTCTTCCATCCGTAGCCGAGTTGTGGATGTGTGTGAGTGACAGAAAGGGAGCGCTTTTTATCTCATGTGAAAAATAAGTATTCTCGGAGTTTTCTGCCTCCTGTGTGGGTAGCTGCCAGCTGCTCCCAGCTTTCGGATCTCTGGAGAAAGCAAACCTGTTCCTGCTGGGGACTGCACGCTGTGCGCAGAGCAGGTGGCGGTGTTCATGAAATGCCTGCAGGTCGGATGGCACTGTGGCTGCCATCTGATGCCTAGCGCCCTTCAGGGATTTTCCTGAGGGCTCCTTACTCTGGTGACCCTAAAATATCGCTGAGAATATTGTTGGCAAAGCAAATCCGGTTGTCAGCGCAAATGCCCTGGTGGTCTCCAAGCGCTCGTGTGCTGAGTGCTGGCACAGCCCAGGTTGGGCTCGGTGCCGACACTGTGATATTGAGAAGAGCTGGGTGCAGAAGGAGAGAAAAGG